CGCTCCCATATTATATAATCCTTGCCTTTGTGTGTTTTGTACAGGGAATTGCCTACCCCTCGATGGCTTTGTAAGGCTAACAGGATGGGGTACTGCCCCTGTCACCTTCCTTCAAATCGCGTCTGGTTTACCGCCTCTACTTTTCGCCAGTAGTATTTGGGGTACAACCAGAAAATCGTTTCCTTCCAACGTTTAAAAGAAATTTCCTTCGTTGAACGACAAAAATTCCCTGCGTTTAAGATTACAAATCAAGCCAATTATTTCCTGAAAGAAATGAAACATCATTATTCGTTTTGATGATTAAAGATCAATTCAATGCTTATTTCAAGGAAACTCCCTTGTCTTAAGGAAGCGATTTTCTTGGTGTAAAGGTTCGACCACGACCAATCAGCAACACTCGGGGACACTCATATTTTACCCGCTACTCTGCCTGTTAGCCGAAGTAAACTATTACGAAGAAATCCCGAATATCGGAAAAATAGCAAACTTCAACCGTTCTATCGTTGGACGCGCAGTTCTATCGTGAACACGGAGACGGACAACACAGATAGAGATTGTTTTTTTGATTGTTGTTTTTTTCTTCTTTTTTTTCTTTGGCGAACAGCAAGGCAGACAAATGGTTGCGAGGGTCAACCCGATACTGATATAATGAGTCTAAAAACGTGTTTTGGCTTCAAAAATTAGAATCCGGCTTTTTTGAAGTCTCGCGGAGTCAGAGTTTTTTGTTTGCCGTGTGAGGGAGAGGCAAGGTGGAAGCAAGTAATTCTGTGTGTAGGCGGGCTGTACAAATCTCGCGTGGCCACACAAACCACTGACGCCCGATTGGTTATTGAAGAGCTTTCCGCTCTGACTTACGAGCACCTAAAAAGCGCCTGGTAACGCCGTGGGCGCCGTGCTCTGCCACGCTGACCCGATGCCACGCCGCTCCGCCCTCCTGCTCTGACCCACTCTGCTCGGCGGTACCCCTGCCTTTGTCTTCCCTCCCTACCTCTGAAACGGTCCCGATCGGCACCGCCTTTTGCTGCTCACAGGATGAACGTGAACGACAAGAAGCTGGAAGTGTCGCTCAGGGCGCCCGTCTACGAGATCGATGGGCAGTACACCTGCAGCGGTGGCGTCTACGAGCTGCCCATCTCTAGCAACGGGCACTTTGCCGTCACCCTCAGTAAGTCGAAGTCGTGCGAACGGCCCACTCCAATGCCCGAATCCAAAATTTGAACCATAACTAACGACTCTCTTAATGCAATTGTTTTCTACTGACTGAAATTACGACATTTGTGATTTTGTTGTGCGTCCATTTCAATGGTCGTGGTATCGAAGCACTGACCATTAACTGTATCCTTACCGGCTTGCCAGCCAGTTTTTTTCTGGTTCTACTGAGCCAGACTCAGGAGTGAGACGGACTTGCCTACCGTCGCTCGCCAAGGCGCCTGCTGGCCCCGCGGCCTGAGAGCATTCAACCCGTTCGCGCGCTTGCAATCGATACTAAACCTTGAAAAAAGAGACGGTGCAGATTACCGATACCGACCCCTCAATTGAAGGGCGGAATCAACGCCGTGAAGTTGTTGCCTACCGAACCCATATTTATCCTCCATGTTTCACCTGTTCCTAATGTTGTCGCAGCTGACGTAACCTCGGCGTGGATGCTGTACTTTCTGACCAAGACGACGAACAACGAGACGCAGGTAGCGGTCAATAGGTTCATCGTCGACGTGAGCCCATCGAATGTCGTCTACCGTTTCGATAAGAAGTTTGACGGCGAAAACAGCTTAGGTATAGGTAACTATTACTGCATGCCCAGTCAATTGCCATCAGTACTCCCTTGTCGAGGGACGGCTGTGATTGGCAAATGAGATGGTTCGTTCAAAGTCGTGACAATTGTGTGCCCATGAAAACGTGGCTCTTGACTCTCTTCCTCCTGCAGGTGAGGCCATGGACGAGTTCATGAATGAAAACGCCCTCGAGATCTACAACGACATCAAGCCGCAGCTCATGAGCATGCTGAGCGAGCTGTTCCTGGAGCGTGCCAACCAGGTGCTCATCAACTTCCCCGGAGCCCTGCCCTTCATCGAGTAGAGCCCTAGCGCGTCGCAGCACAAGCAAGTCGCACGCGCCGGAGAGGTAGGCCCGCCGGAGCAGCTCGTGGACCGGCGCGGCGCCGCCTCAAGGCCACTGCCCCCGCCGTGCCCGAGGAGATATTCAGCACTTGTCCTCTACGTTGGAGAAAAAAGAAAGATGAGCGGCTGTTAGGGGCAGTAGTGTACTACACGATGCCAGGGAATGAGTTTTTCACTCCCCGCTCATCGATGTGATAAAGGAAGAAAAATGGCATGTCCCGTGGCTCTAATTATGTGGGTTGGCTGGAGTCACGTGGAGTTCAGTGAGCTGTACACGTGCGAGTTTATAAACTATGCCCTCCGTGGCCCCACGCCTTCCAGGAAACTGGTCCGCGAATCCCAACGGGGGCCACGTGCGACACAACTCGCCACTTAAAGTAGCCAAATTGGGAGGGGCAAACTGAAGGAAAAGCCAAGGCCAACGTAGAAAATCTCGCGACTCCCAACTCGCTCAGCGTATTGAATTCGAATGGATCGTCGTGTTATATTGTTCGTACCTCTGAAATGCGGAGGCATCGCACAAGAATCGTCGCACATTGTAGTCGAAGAGGTGAAATCGACACCAGTTCGGTGTATTAGGCCTATCGTATTGAATTGCCTGTGATAATATATAATCTATATAACTTATGGTACGTTGTATCTCGTATCTCCTGGGCTAACCCGCTTTGTGTACACTCTTCTCGAGTCCCGGCTTAGACGTGGAGCATATGGGAAGCGGCCGATTCGTCTGACTGGATGGCGCGGCCGCTGTCAGACGTGCACTTAGACAACCGTATCATTCTAGGAACGAAATCGTTACTTTGGAACATTGATTTTTTTTCAGCTCAACAAAATTTGTTTTATCCGACAAATGTTTCGTTTTCTTAAATAAACTTTTTCGTCGCCCGAACGAAAAAAAAATGACTTTGGTTTCTGGCACGAAATTTTCTTTTAAACACAGTTTTTTACCCAAACTAAGAGGTTTCCTGGGTATGCGTTGATTTGATCATTGATCATTTGCATCGCCAATCATTTACGTGTCTGAACAGAACAGAGACCTGTGAAAACATCACCCTACAAAATTATTGGTTACACACTTGAATTCGCTTCTGACTTTTCAATTTACCAAGTGGCTAACTTCCCCCACCCACGCCCACGTGAGTTGATACAGAACGTATCGCAGAAACAGGTGCGGGTGGGTTGCCTAGTAGGCAAAGCCTACTCGATCGAGGCACCGTGGTCAGTCAAAAACGGTAGGCTGGCGCGGATTAAGATCCGGCTGACAGGGGGCGGTGCACGGTCGATTGCCTACATTCGGGGCTTCTTGTGCAAATTGCCTACCTTTCAGGTGGTTCTCTAGAGACCACGGGGGGGGGGGGATAATCCCCACCCCCACCACCTTAATCCTTCTAAAGCCTTCCACCAGGTGTATGTAACAGAATCATATCGTGGAGGGTAGGCACCGCTACCGCTGCATTTACTAGGGACTCCAAATGTAAGTACCGGTTGTCTCTTTGAAAATAATTCGACCAAATGTTTCCGGATTCCATACTCGCTAGAGGCGCAGCTCCTAGGAGTCATGGCACCTGACTGGCGAAGGGAGCGTAGTAGGAGGCAAACCCGCATTCAAAGGAACACCCGGCACGTGGTATCAACTAAAGCATTATGCCAAAATTTTCTGTTTCCCCGTTAAAACTAAAATCATCAGTGCACTGGTAAAACAAAGGTGCGAATCTCTACCTTTAAAAGGCACTAAATGTGACCTTTCACACCTTAAGCTGGCTAGCTTCATATGAGTTCCATACAAGTTTAGTGCCTTTGGAAAGGCACGAAACTTTAGTGCCCCAGGAAAGGCACTAAACTTTAGTGCCCCAGGAAAGGCACTAAACTGCGCCCTTGACTTTAGTGCCCCAGGAAAGGTGTTGTTTAGTGCCTTTGTTTTTGTTTATGTTCCGGAAACAAGAACTATTTCGGCGCTTCCAACATTACATGTCACGAACTAATATGTAGTAAAATAAACAAGTTGGAGTTCAAAACGATTGTTTTCAGAAATAAAAAATAAAATAATTTATTCATTCAACTTTTTATAGAAGTAACAACTTACTTACAACCCTCAAACCACTCACAACTTTGTAGAACGTTCACCATACTTCCCCAGCTGGCTGAATGGTGAGGTGCACGATCTGTCATCGAGAAAGAACATGAACAGCGTAAGAAATAAGAAGCGCCGGTAGGGTGGGAACTCTGCCAGGCTCTGCCCCACTACGGAGCTGACCAGGCGCCAGACGAGTAGGCAACCCAACCTACCTCGACGGACGGCGGGCTGGACAGTACGAAGCGGACGGCGCGCGCTATGTCGCGAGGCTGCAAGACACGGTGCTCCAAATCCTCCAGACACTTATCGCTCACTAGGGGCGTCTGGACTGTCCCGGGGGAGAGGTCCTACCGAGAAACACACGAGGAGGGCCACAGTTTGTATATCGAGTAGGATCCGCAGATATCCGCGAATGTGCCGCGGCACATATCAAGCCACCCACATCCCAGATTATAAGGCACAACAATGCAGGTCGCCCAAAAAGGATTTAAGAAAAAATGATGTTTTTGAAAAACACCGTTGAGTAGTTCTCCACACAAGTGTACTTCATGATAATTAAAGTCCAAATCAGAGAGTGCCGACGGGAACGTGACACGACGTTGACGGGTTGTTTTCTCCCCTACCGTGACCCTGACGTTGACTCCTTGGTTCCTCAGCTCGGCGCGGAGGGCACGATTGAAACCGATGACCGCGTGCTTGGAGGTGGCGTACATGGACATGGCGAACACGTCCAGCAGGGCACGCGATATGAACTCGGCGTGGCCCACGGTGCTGCACAGAAACAACGACAGGTGGCTGACACGCGGGAGCAGATCGATGGGTGTTGTGGTGTTGTTACAGGCGCATATGGCAATGAAGCTGCGATATGCATATATGCATGGGATCACAGCGCAGAACCAACCTGCCAATGTTAACGATGACGCCGTCTTTGACGCCATGCTTCTTCATGCTTTCAATGGCCTCCCGGGTGGCTGCGGCCAGCCCCAGAACGTTCGTGTTGAGCACGCTGGACATCAGCTGATGATCTGAATCTGATCACACATGTAAACATTTTTAATTTGGCCGTAGTGTACTTTCAATTATTTTTTTCAGATTTTGCAAAAATGATGGAGTGTACCGGGTGATTCAGAGCACGCGCCGCCGTGTTGTGGGATTGCATACCCTAGGGGCGATGGAGCCTTACGGGCGGACAGAGTAGGCAAACCCGCCGACAGCGGCGCGTGCTTTGAATCACCCGGTACAATAGAACTACCAATGGTTCCCCTATAAGTGCATTTTCGCCCACTACAGCCCCCATAGGAGATAAGGGTCAAGCGAGACATCGCGAGGCTCTTTACCCAACACCCAACGACAGACACACACACACACACACACACACTGTGGACCTTGACCCAGACCTCACCTCCTAAAGGGCTCATGGGCGCGATGCCGGCGTTGTTGACAATGGCCGCCACGGCTCCTAGGTGCTCGTCCACCCACTGGAAGGCCCGCTTGAGCTCCGCCTCCTTGGTGATGTCCACATGGAGCGGGTGCACCGACCCGCCGGCCGCGCCGCTGCTGGAGCCGCCCTGGAGGCGCGCGGCCAGTGCCTAGAGGCAGGATCGCGATCAGCCCCAGGCCAACACGTACTGAGCGCCTCTGCTTGACGCCAACGCCATATTAGCAGGCTTACCTGGACCCTCTCCAGGTTGCAGTCGAAGGCGGCCACTTTGAGGCCGGATTGGAAGAGGTCCTCGGCGATGGCGGCACCGAGCCCCCCCGCGGCCCCGGTGACCACGACCACGCGGCCCACCAACCTGGACATGTCCATCTGTTCCATGGTGCGACGGGGACGGGACGGTGGGATGCAGTGATGCAGCAAGCCGGAGCTCTGACCTCAGAATGGCCCCGCCGGGTGGGGTGAGGGCCGAGTGACTTGGGCCGTCAAGATAAGGGCCTGTCCAGATAGCAACGGCCGTAGGCCGTAGCGCCGCAGGCCGTGACGGCAGTGCGGCCGCGACGGCGCCACCGGCGGCGCGCGGCGCGATTTTTGAATATAACATCTAAAACAACTTGATTTCTTCGACAGTTATCGTCTAATAAACATTTTGCAACGCAGTGCAACGTCAGAACAACTAAATATGATTACCATGTGATTACGCAGATATCACAAAAATCAGGTATTATGCACCAGCGTATACACGCTCGATGAAAGATAGGCGTTGGTGACCAGGTTGGGTTAGATTCAACTTGAGATCAGAAAATTTGTATTTTTCTACTTGACGACTACTTGCAGATATTTTTTCCACCTTTTATCTCTCCACACTAGCTATGCCTGTGTCGACAAGTTTAAATTTTCGCTAATCATCAAGGAAACTAAGTTGTATGGGATGTTATTCAAAAACCGCGCCACGCGCGCTGCCAGTGGCGCCGTCACGGCCGTACGGCCGTGACGGCTTACGGCGCTACGGCCTACGGCCGTCGCTATCTGGACAGGCCCAAGCATCCGAACGCACGGGCGCCCGGCCAACCGGCCCCTCGAAGCTCAAGCCGAGCGTTTGATGGGAAAGGGAGGTGGAAGAAGGGCTAACTAAGCGCTAGAGCGCCACCGACCGCGGGGAGTCGCCGGCGTCGTGAGGGGAATAAGAACTAGAAACGGTCAAGCGTCGTAAGCATAGAGTGGACAGGTAAATGTTGAGTTAATTCAGGGTTGCCACAATGTTTCCTGATTTCCAGACCAGTTTTTAGACAGTCCCCAAGACTGTCTCTACCAGAAGGAAAAATGTGTCGCCCCTCGCCCCACTGTTTTTTCTTTTTGTCTTACCGCTTTTTGTCCCTTGTATTACCGCGGATCACATTACAACTTAACACAAGAGATGCAAAAGCCACACAGTAATTTAAAATGAATAATTACGACATTGGTAGTCAAGTCTTTTGCCAACACCCCATCTCCCACATTGGACTGTTTTGTCTACTTGAGCTGAGCGAAAATCTGACCTGGTGAGCTTTATGGCCTAGTGGAGGGGACTGACTGCTTCTTAGCCCTGTATGCTTTTTTCTTTTCTTTTTTTTTAAGCGTGATTTATTGTTTTTATAGGACTTTTGACCAAATTAGCTTACATTTCCCAGTTTCCCGACCATTTTTAAAATAACTGACTTTTCCCTGAACTCCTTGATTTTTACCTCTTGTAGTTTGTATCATCAGTAAATGAGGGCTGACGTTATGACAAGACATAAACTAACAACAATTTTTGCAGAAACATGTAGGTATATTTCTGTAATTTGCTAAAAACAAATAAAAATGTTACTTAGCTTTGCAAATAAATCATGAAAATATTTTACTGTTGGAGCCACAGGAAGACAGTATCATAATCATAATTTAAAGCCAATTGAACTTGTGTATCTGCCACAAAAAACTCAACTACACACACAAATCCAGTTCCAGAACAAACATAAGAACAACTGGCTTTACATTTCATCGATTGTTTTTCATTGTTTTGTAGGAATAAAACATATTAATTCCATGTAATGTTAAACAGTATCGAATTTCTTTTTACAAAAATTCTTACAGACTTCTATAGATAAATATTTCATAGTAATTCTGGTAATAACTAGAGGTATGCCTGAGCGGAAGGCCTAATTAACACTAGTACAAATAGTTTTCACAATGAAACTATATCATAACAACAAATACTGTGACATTGTCTGGAGTGTCCGCTCACATAATAAGATCATTAAGACAATGTCTCCTGGCCAAATATATCAATCAACATTTCACAAAGAAACTTAGCTGAATACAATAAGAGGGATTTAGAGCAAAGTAACAGTGGTAACAGAACAGTCTTTCTTTAATATATCAATAAGGAAAATAAATACAGCAAACAGCTTTCCAAAGAGAAATTATATGTTAAAAAATTGAGGTTTAGTGCTCGGTAGCATATTACCTGGATAGATATTTGTAAGGCCTTATCAAAACTTCATGGGCTTGACTTAGAAACAATTTCAGACTACAGCAGAAAAGAAAATACCTCCATTATGTTTGCTCAAAGCATAGATGTACACACAATTATTCCAACAGGATATTATCATGTAGTCAACAGGAACCATAGAACTCAGCAAGTTGTACAAGGGTAACTAGTTTTAGTCAGTGAGATGATGAATTTAAAACGCTGCATGTGTAAAATGTTTATACTAGGTGGCCACTAGTACCCATTATGTGCCTACATGTGTAGGCTACAGTCCAAACATTGTAGATAGTTCCTCAAGCACCAAGTAGTGAGGACATTATATTTAAAACTAGACAAAATAATAAAAAAAAGGGACATAAAGAGAACAACAAAATGTAACAAAACAGATGAGTGATATGATGCATTAAAATTTTCAAAAATGCAGAAATACTTCTCAAACAACATAGGCCCCTGAAGGGATTCAAAATAAAATAAATTAACCAGAGTTGGTTACAAATAAGCATTTACATATGGTATAAATGAACACCATTCTATTTGCACTTTACAATATGTTTAGGTAAGTTTTGGTGAAAATATTTAACTACTCATACAAATTTGCAAAATCAAACATTTACAGTGCAATATAAGATAACTGTCATGGAAAAGCTTCCTCGCATTGTGCTGTATACAGCATACTCATCATATCACACTTAAGCCTTGCTCGTCGCTGCTCACTTAAACGTTTCATGCTGGCCGCCATGGATAAACAAAAGTAGAGATCTTCATCAAGAGGTTTGTGGGCAAGTTCTTCAAGGAGTGACATTTCCACTCCTTCGCCTTTATATATTCGACTGCTACTGCTGCTGCTGGCAGCACTAGTGTTAGTGCTACCATTGTAGTAAGCTGCTCCTTCGCCAGAGACATTCAGTGCTGTAAGCAAAATCAAAGAGAAAATCAAGCTCAATGAAAAAAAAGTATAGGAATAAGAGCAGAGATGCCACAATGGGCACAAAAAACTTGGCTGAAAAAGTGATGAAGGTAGTGATCAAAATGAATCAGGTGAGAGTCAATAGCAAAGATTCAAATAGTATCTTTCAGCATTGAGGACATGGGATTCTAGAATATTGACTTCTTTCTTTGCTGTATGAAATATACTAACATCTTTGTTGCATACTGCAGCTGGATTGAACATTGTTTTGATTATTAGATGAACTAGAGCCATAATTGATAGCACTTCGGCCACCATTAGCTGCTATTAAGTTGATTGATACAGGGGCTGTTAAGCCAGTGTAAGTGAGACATGAAGGAGATGGGTTGGCTTGAATTATATATGCCTTTGGCATTATAGCTGAAGAACTACCTGACGCTAGCATCGTCAATGCAGCGTCTTGAGGTGGATGAGAGTTTGGATTGGCATTACGTCGTCTTCTGCTTCTTTTGGTGCCTGAGGCTGCTGCAGGACTGGAATCAAACAAAGAAGACTTCTGTGCAAATTGATACATCAAAATTATACATAAAAAACCACAATCAAAGTATTCTTACTCTCTAGCAGTCATGAAAGGAATAACAAATTCCATTTTCTTGTGATATCGCCAAGTTTTTCGACAAATTGCGCCACTTATAGTTAGTTTTCCATCCTGACGCTTCAAGGCGTCACGAAGGGAATCGCGAAGCCGCTTCCAATGGTGTTTAGCTTCTTTGACTGCGAACACAAGATATAAAATATTTAATTATTCAATAACTGGCTGCAATACTCTTCCTGGAGGATTACTTCTGATACAAGAACAGAGAATCACACATCAATAAAAATACAAGCTAAGGTTATGAAATTGGCATCTGCAGTTTAGAAGAAAATACTTTCCCAATAATTTATACTTACTGCTAATTCCAAGGTCCTCACTTATACGTGCCCAAATCCTTGCTCTTATTTCCTTGTCTGAGTACTTTTCGTTATTAAAGTCATACAGGATTGGGTACTTCTTAACTTCATTGATGAGGAGTACATTCACACTTTCTTCTGGATCCCCACCCAGTAAACTGTCATCAATATTCCCTAATACTTGTTGCGGAGTGATAAATTCAGCAGTTTTTCCTTCGAAATTCATTGTTTTTCTCACACTAAAAAAGAGTCATTTCCACAGATGTAAACAAATAATAGCACTATTCGTCTGCTCTCATCGTGAAAACATTTTCTGTCACTGTCGATTAGGCTTCTTGTGTGTTGAGAATATCCTCAATTCCGTCCAAAGTTGCACTTAAACCGCGATAACATTTCACTGCAAGCAATTTGGCGAACTAGAGAGCTACAATCGTAAAAACCTGAAGTTTAGGTCAATCTAAAGACTAGCTCTGATGCTTCGATTTGCTCATCCAGATTGCTGCTGTTGTTGTGGCAACATCGGGCTGTTTTGGTACTGAATCACAGGGGCAGAAGGGAGATTCAACCAAGCCATACAATGAGTTTATTTCATCTGGTATCACCCCCATTGAATTAATACTACGTTTCTAGGATTCAACTCAGTTATTTAAAATAACAAGATCAAATTAACTCAGACTTTTCATTTAAAAGAACTCCTCTTATGGACTGATAACTGAAGGAAGAAACTTGGTCGTGGTTTGTCAAATTTCTCATAAGAAGGTTGCCATAGCCTCTCAACGACATCTATGGTGCAGAAACAGTAGCTCAAACAAACCTCTTGCATCTTCTTACTCAGCCTTTACCCACGTTCATGAAAATGGCGGCAGAGCAAGAGCAATTTTATCAGCTCCTTAATACCCTTTTAAGTACGAATAATGAGATTCGCACCCAAGCTGAGGTAAGTTATCGTTTTAGAATAATCTGTTATATCGAAATAATCATGTTGCTGAGGGTCGTTATATCGTTATTTCGTTGCACAACGGTTTTCTAAGGCAACAATGGGGTCTTTAGGCCTAACATGTCCACCGCGTGTTCGCCCTGCGTGTAAATGCCATGCATTTTCTCGTTAATATTAACGAATGATTGTTTACATGATGTCTGTTTCTACTTTCTCTAGGTCCTTATTTAATCTCATCTCGCTTATGTCTGTCGCTGTAGTCTATCCGATCTCCATACGATTTCATTTAATAACGACTAGCTTCATGCTCACGCCTGCTTGAACTTTCCGTTACCCGCCGTTTTCTTTGTTGGTGCATTCGATCAGATTTTATGAAGACTGTGACATTTGACAAGTCGTTTCTCTCACGTATCGCACAGAGATATATCTTTATTGAAAAACTGTTGTCATATACTATTTTACGTTTTCTCCCACTCTGTGCACCGGGTCTAGGCCGTATATTGGCGTTAGTAATTTAGACATATCACTTGCACCCAAAGAAGTACACCTCAGGCTTGCTTTTTATTTTCCTTTCTACTTTCAAATTATATTCCTGAAATGTTTTCTGTTGTTTTTATCTGTTTAAATGTTTACATGTGCTTTTGTATTGGTAATAATATTTCACCCTTATTTTGTGGTTACAGGAAACTTACAACAATTTACCTGTAGAGCCGAAGGTTACATTTTTGTTAAATAGCTTGCACAATGGTGCTCTCAATGAGGAGGCTGTCCAAATGGCAGCTATTCTTTTGCGCCGTTTATTTACCTCGGAGTTTGCTGACTTTTACCCCAAGGTAATCTCTCTTGCTTCAAATATTTTATTTTAGATTACATTACACCTTGGTTCTATTTAGTAATTATAATTGTTATTATGAAATCTACTTTATTTTAGCTATCACCCGAAGCTCAGGCTGAGTTGAAGTCCAAAGTACTGCTTGCCGTCCAAAGGGATCAAACTGATGGATGCAGACGTAAAATGTGTGATGTGGCATCAGAAGTGGCCAGGAACTTCTTGGATGATGATGGCAACAACACTTGGCCAGAATTTCTTCAATTTCTATTCCAATGTGCTAACAGTGCTGTACCAGTCCTTAAAGAATCAGCCCTGCGAATGTTTACGTTAGTAGTAATCATTGTTCAATGTCCTTACGCTGAAGTGTAAAAGAACATCTGTATCTGAAATTCATGTGTCTTTTTTAGATCTGTGCCTTCAGTTTTTGGAAACCAACAAGCAAGTCATCTTGATCTTATCAAGCAAATGATTCAGTCTTCTCTCACAGATGCCACAAGCTATGATGCAAGTTGCAGCAAACTCTCATTTCATTTGTTGGATTGGAGTTAAGTGTTTTCTCTAAAGTCCAACATATTTTTTCAGGTCCGCTTCCAAGCTGTTAAAGCTATCAGCGCATTTATTTTGCTGCATGAGAAAGAAAATAACATCTTAAGACACTTTTCTGATCTTCTTGCTCCTGTCATTCAGGTATGAGAGTCCTTAATTCACCTTTTTTTGATTAGTAACCAGAGTTTTGCTCCAGAGCCTTGCGTTTGGGTCTGGAGGCCGGCCAGCAAGAGACCGAGCGGGTCGGTCACAGGCCGGCCTCTCGCCGGCTGGCCTCCGGACCCCAAACGCAAGGCTCTGTTTTGCTCTTGCAGAAAGGTACTGTGTGTATTCAAGTTCTACTGTCTTTCTACAAAATATCTCTTTTCTTTAGGTCATAATGCAAAGTGTTGAAAAGCAATCAGACAGTGCTTTGCTTAAATCTCTTATTGACCTTGCTGAATCAAGTCCCAAATTCCTGCGACCTCAGTTGGACACAATTATGCAAATGTGCATGGAGGTACTCCCCTACACTTTTTTAAAATTTTGATACCTGTCCTCATGTTATTTAAGTTCTGAATTTACATATTGTGCCTGTTTCCAGCTCTTTTCTAATGCAGACTTGGATGATGCTTGGCGTCAGTTGGCTCTGGAAGTCATTGTTACACTCTCCGAGACTGCCCCTGCTATGGTGCGCAAAGTTGGTGCCAAGTATGTCCCTGAGTTGGTGCCTAGGGTTTTGCATCTCATGACAGATTTGGAAGATGATGATGATTGGAGCGCTGGGGATGAAATTATTGAAGAGGATAATGACTGGTACACCAATTAAAAGTTTCTTGATTATGTTTCTTTTTATCCATGTGACATATTTTATCATAATTTTCTTACTTTTAGCAATAATGTTGTGGCTGAATCAGCTCTTGACAGACTGGCGTGTGGCCTGGGTGGGAAAACCATGTTACCTCACATTGTTCAAAATATTCCTCAAATGTTGGAAAACCCCGACTGGAAATACCGGTAAAATACATTTATAAAAAATCTATTGATTTCTTTAGGAAAATTTTGTCAGTTGACCATTTTCTTCCTTTTAGGCATGCTGCTCTTATGGCAATTTCAGCTGTTGGTGAAGGCTGCCATAAACAGATGGAAGCAATGCTCCCTCAGATTATGGAAGTAGTCATCAAATATCTTATTGATCCTGTAAGCCTCTTTGACTGACAAATGTTATTACATTATTTTCCTGGATCAAATAATAGTGATTCTTTGTAATTGATTTTAGCATCCAAGAGTGAGGTATGCTGCCTGCAATGCCATTGGTCAAATGTCAACAGATTTTGCTCCAAACTTCCAAAAGAAATTCCATGAGAAGGTTGTGCCAGGGCTTCTTTTGGTTCTAGATGACAATCAAAATCCAAGAGTTCAGGCTCATGCAGGTTTGTGTTCCAACTTCTGCCATGAAAACAGTTTTAAATCTCAAGTTTCATTATCTAATGTCTATTTTATCTATCTAACATATAGGTGCAGCTTTGGTCAACTTCAGTGAAGATTGCCCCAAAAACATTTTAACTGGCTATTTGGATGCCATCATGGGCAAATTACAGGCCATTCTTAATGCTAAATTTGATGAACTAATGAAGCGAGGAACGAAACTTGTTTTGGAGCAAGTTGTCACTACCATTGCATCTGTTGCGGACACTTCAGAAGAACAATTTATTAAATATTATGACAATTTGATGCCATGCCTGAAGTTTATTATTGCCAATGCCAACACTGCTGAATTAAAGCTTTTGCGTGGAAAAACTATTGAATGTGTCAGTTTAATTGGCTTAGCAGTTGGTAATGAAAAGTTTGCACCTGACGCAAGTGAAATCATGGATTTGCTGTTGAAGACAAATCAGGAGGGGGAACTGGCTGATGATGACCCTCAGACATCCTACCTGATATCAGCTTGGGCCAGGATCTGCAAAGTTTTGGGTTTGTGTTCTTTCATTGTTTAAATAATACAAGTACAAAAAGTGATTTTTTATATATATATTTTTTTAATTTACAAATGTTTTTTTTACTTATAGGAAAGCAATTCCAGCAATACTTGCCATTGGTTATTGGTCCAGTCATGCGCACTGCCTCTCTAAAACCCGAAGTTGCTGTGTTAGATAATGATGACATGGAAGGAATGGCAGGCGATGATACATGGCAATTCGTTTCTCTTGGAGAACAGCAAAATTTTGGTATCCGAACCTCCGGTCTAGAAGACAAAGCTTCTGCTTGTGAAATGCTTGTTTGTTATGCAAAGGAATTAAAAGAAGCCTTTGCGGACTATGCTGAACCAGTGGTAAAACTGATGGTGCCAATGCTTAAATTCTACTTCCATGATGGCGTGCGAACTGCTGCAACTGAGAGCTTGCCCTACCTCTTAGAAAGTGGGAAAGTAAAAGGTATGAAATACAATCAAGGCTTGTGAATTTCATCTTGCCCTCTCAACTTATAATCAGAGGAAATAACTTAATTTTGTGTTTTTAGGTAACGATTACTTAATGGGCATGTGGAACTACATATGGCCAGAACTGTTGAAGGCAATTGATACTGAACCTGAGAACGAAGTTCTTTCAGAACATATGCAGTCCTTAGCGAAGGTACAACATTTTACTTTTAATCTCATTGTTCTGCTGAGGATGTTATCACTGAATTAACTTTTTGTTTTTAACAGTGTATCGAAGTGTTAGGACTTGGATTCCTCTCGCAAGAAGCCATGCAAGAGATGCTCAGAATCCTTGACAGGTTGATTAAGGATCATTTCGAACGAGCTGAAGCGCGTGTTGAGAAGAGGAAGGATGAGGATTATGATGAGGTAAAAAAATTCATCTCTTTTGAGTTTCAGTTATTTGGAATTTAAAATTATCTAATGGTTTTTACTTCTATTTTTCTATGTGTGTGATAGGTTGTTGAAGAGCAATTGGAGGATGAGGATAATGAAGATGTCTACATTCTGAGCAAGGTTGCTGATATATTACATTCTCTCTTCTCAACTTATAAAGCTGACTTCTTCCCTATGTTTGACACACTAGTTGGTCACTTTGTCAAAATGCTTGGTCCCGAGAGACCATGGTCTGACAGGCAATGGTCTCTGTGTGTATTTGATGATGTTATTGAATTTGGAGGGCCAGCATGTGCTAAATACCAGCAGCACTTCTTAGGTCCTATGTTGACCAATGTTACTGACAAAAGGCCAGAAGTGAGACAGGCTGCAGTCTATGGCTGTGGTGTTTTGGGTCAGTTTGCTGGAGATGCCTTTGCAGGTGAGTTTTTCTCTTAATTTGGTATTTCTTCTCATTAGCATCAGATTAACAAAGTATTTATTCTTTCAGTTGCTTGCAAGGAGGCTATTCCTCGTTTGGTTGAGGTCATCAGTGAAGCGGATGCACGTGCAATGGAAAAAGTATGCGCAACTGAAAATGCAATTGCTGCAGTCACCAAAATTCTTAAGTACAACCACTCTGCTATCAATGTTGATGAGATTTTACCCCTATGGTTAGTATAAGTTATTTACTGTAGTAACATAGCACATGGTTGAATTTGGCCTCATAACTTACCCTTCTTTTTGTCATTGTAGGTTGTCCTGGCTTCCTGTCTGGGAAGATGTTGATGAAGCTCCACATGTGTACGGCTACATGTGTGATCTTATTGAAGCTAACCATCCTATTATCTTGGGTCCAAATAATTCCAATCTTGGCCGTCTTATTGCAATTATTGCGGAGGCTTTCAACCGTGGAGCAGTTGATGAAGACACAACACCAGTTGCTCAAAGAATGCTTAATTTAGTTCGTGAAATTCAGGTATGTTGGCATTGTGATTCACGCCCATTAAAATATGATTTATCTTTTAATCATTTCTAATAAAATAACACTTTTAAAAATATTTTTCTTCATGTTTTAGAGAAACGATGCTGTTTTCCAAGTCTGTCTTCAGCAACTCTTACCAGACCAACAAGTTGCACTCTCAGATGCATTAAACTCTACACCGACACCTAACTCATGTTAAATCCCCTTGTAGATTGTGGAAAAGTCTAATATCTGCCTGTAATTAGGACCGGTCTATAATGTGTGCTAAGCGCCAACTTTTAGTAAGTTACCTATATGATTTTGAAATATTCAAATTTAAACAGTAGGTCCTGAGCAAACAATGAACAAGACTGATAATACCATGTTCAGGAATAATTGAAATTCGTATTTGGCAATTTTTCCATTTTTATTTTACATTTTGTAGTATTTGAAAGTGAGAGGAAGTTGTGCTTCCCATTGATTTTTTTATAGAATATATTTATTATGACCACATTTAAGAACAATATTTCAAATGTCAGTGAGATGAATATTTAGGGGGAATAGTTATGCGTGCAAGAGTGACCTGAAGTTTTATTATACTTCAGTAAGTTATATTTTAGTCTATCTTCTTTCATTACTACAATGTAAATGGTCAATATTCACCAATTCTGTCAAGTGATGACAAGTAGCTAGTTTTTACACCTCAGCACCATTTAAATCTACTTGTTATTCTACAGATTAGCTTTAGAAATTCCAGTGATTACCAGAGAAAATTGAGTTGCAACTCATTGTAGTTAATATTATGTCATCACAGTAGAAAGGTTGCATTTGTAGTAGATTCCCTTAAGATGACCCATTCATCATCTTATGCAGGTTGTTAATGGTGGTACCGGTGCTGAGGTGCATTTCTTGCAATTTCTTGAGAGTGAAATCAGGGATTGTTTTATGTGATATTCAAACATAATGTGCAAAGTCCACAGCTGAAACCTGTACATCTCGGCTTGTCATTGTAATTATGTATGTATGCACCAGCTTGTAAACTGGAATTGATTACATATTTCTTTTGACTTGAAGTGTGAAGAAAATGAATTTCTTTTACATATTTCTACTTGTTTGATTCTGATCAATGTTTTGTGTTCTTACTCACCATCGTACCGTATGTATCTAATTTGTTGTCATTGTGAATTCCGTGATTGCATTTTTTTTGGAGATTCCCTTTGTATCTGAGGTGTGTGCAAGTCTGTGCACTGGAAAGACTGATCTTGCCATTTTGTTGATATGACAAGTGAAGGAAATAAGATTAAAGTCATTGCTGGTCTTTGTCTAAATTTTTTTCTGGAAATTAGTGGTTTTTCCCTTTTCTACTAGTTTATGTCTTCTCCATGATGTAGTATTTATCTGTGTTTTAAATTAAGTGCCTTTTCTATTTTCCAGAAAATAGATATAGTAGCTGTGATGTGAGGTTAGGGAAAATATTGCTGCGGGCAGCGATGGAAGTCTTGCACTTGCCTCATATTTCTTTGAAGGGATCAAAGAATATGCGGGATGAAAATCACATGTTATCACATGGCTAGTTTTAACATGTTTAATTTGAATTTTGATCTGAAGCTGAAGTTAAAATCTGTACGACAATTTTTTCTGAACACTTAAATGTTACTGCCGCAAAGAGCCACTATTTTCGTAATTCTAGGAATGTTGGGTGTAGTGCATCCAATATTGAGGATTGAAATGGAGAAAGACGAGTGTGCCTACAGTTGTCTCCCTTGTGCAAATCTGCTTTTGTGCCGCTATTGAAGTTGTATTTTTCAGACATGTCACATGTTTGTTTCTCAGCAATTAAAACTATTATTAGCGTGACGCCGGTGTTCAGTGATACAATTTCCCTCTGGTTCCCTAGGACTGTTGAGTGGAGGGTTCCGCAGCTTCGCGCTAGGTGGCGCTGCCGGTGGGGGCGGAGCGGGAGCGGGGCGACCGGGCCGGCCTGGCGGCGGGGCTCCGGCTCCGCGGAGGACTTCCACCTCCACGCACTTGGTCAGCGGCCTCCCCTGTGACTGGACGCACCCCCTGCCCTGTCCCAAGGCCCTACCCCTGCTGCACCCGAGCACCGACACCCGCCGCGGCGCAGCGCACCAGAAGTCCTCTCGGCGAGCCGGCTGAGACGCGCCACGGCACTTGGACGACACACGGGAGTCGATCCCTTCGCCACGTCAACCATGAGGTGAGCGCCGGGGACAGCCGCCCCTCTCCTCGCGGCCAGCAGCGGGACTTCCCTCGGGTCCGGTATCGCCGAGGGATGAGGTGGCAAGACTCCACGGGTGTGAGTGAGTGGGGGCTGCCTAGCTTAAGTGCAAACCACACACGCTTCTCCGATGACTGATTTTAAAGGAGGGTACAATGGTTCAGGCTAGTAGAAACGGTCCTATAATAGCCTAATAGCCCGTGGGTCTGACTACCGGAATTCTTTCGTACTACCGGAACACTTGCAACTAGCTAGAAGAGCCAATCCCCGTCGCCAGTTTTGCCTCGCCGGCTACATATTTCGGCCGGGTGCGGCCTGCGGGCCCCACCTCGGCCCTCTTTCGGGTTGGGCTGGCTTGTACCGTCTTGTTGTAGGCCTCTCCAGTGAGTGGCTGCGAATCGCGGCCCCCGGTATGGCTTGGCCGCTCACACCCTCAGAAAACCCTGTTTAATTTCTTCGATTCATAATAGGTGTCTGAATGCGCCCCGCCCAATGTCGTAGTTACACTGCGGTCAGGCGCCTCAGCACGTGTATGTGTGCGGTAAAGTCAAGCTACAACTGTGGACCGAGCGAGTTAGCCATACCACCCTGTACCCGCTTGCGCCTCAACGGTTGGAAGAGGAAAGCGGGCGAAGGGGTCATGGGTCCTAACTTGTCAAGTTAAGCCGTTGGGTACCTTACAAAATTTAAACATTTTGCTGTACACCGTTCCCTATCTCATGTTTTCCCCACCCCAATGCCCATCTCTGATATGGTTGGCAGGATTCGCACAAACCTTTTCGGCGATCAGTAGCGACCAACAAATTTGTTGGCTCATGTCCTTCCCTTCCCCTCCCTGGTCCTGGTGAACTGACAAACACCTGGGCTATTCCACAAGAGAGTGGGGCGTGGAAAAATGAGTTTTTAAATAGAGGACGCAATTGTGCCCAAACGTTACGGGCGATACGTCAGATGAGGAATAAACCGCAGTTTTACTTAAAGGTTTTACTCAAGGGTTTGATGCTGTTCAGGTGCTATTTTAACTTTAAAACTTAATAAAAAATGACTTAATTGGACTAAATTTGCACTTGCTGATTATTTTTGTCCTATTGGCACGACGCGATACTTTGAACGTTCTGCAAGATCGGAAAACATTAATCGGTTTTTTAAAGCGTTAGATTAGTCATCGCCTAAAGCAACCGTTCCGCACTATTGCGTTTTCAATTTCAAAAATACTTTTTTTTACTCCCTACAGTTGTTTTTTTCTTTTTTTGCACAAGCTCGCTAATTCTCACGATGCAGACGGTGGTATAACTTGTGAAGTGTGTTACTTTCACACAACAAAAATCTAGGAAAGCCCTCGACCAAAAAACAATCGCACTCTATGCTAGCAAGTTACAAAGAAATTGTTGTTGGTCACTATATTTTAATCTTATCCATATGCTAATTAATGTCTCCGTCTTGTGCAATCCAAACAACGCCCCACAAATTGTGCCGCGTTCGCCCCGCCCGGCCCCGCCCCGCTGCCGTTGCTGCGCCACGCGCGAGAGTTGCGGAGCACGCTCGCCGCACGCGCCCGCATGCGAGCGCCCCCGGGGAGCCGTGTCCGGTCCGGTCAAGCAAGTCGCTGGTCCTGGCCCCGGTCCCGGCCCAGCCGCGGCCCAACATTTGTCTTTCTTAGTTGTTCCGGCGATTGGCTGCTGCTGGCTTAGGGGCCGAGTCCGGGGGTCCCGCTGCTTGGTCGCGCCCCGGACGGGCTGCGGTGTGCCCTGGTTGTGCGGCACCAGATGTGCAGCCGCGGGCCATCCCCTGTGGCGGAGGAAAAAGTACCCACTGGTTGTTTAGTCTCTTACAGTTTGCCAAAGTGCGGTTTGGGAGAGTATGCGTGCACCCAGAAAAACGTACCTTTGCTTTAACGTCAAAAAGAGCTTCCGTTGTTCCAAACGAAATTTTGACATTGGTTTCAAGCTAAATCCTGTTAAATCAAGGGAATTCTGCCTTGTCAACTATGAATTCAGCCTTATTTCAATGTCTCAGCAATTAAAACTATTATTAGCGTGACGCCGGTGTTCAGTGATAATTAAGGTGTGATGAATTATTCCCCAATTGGGCTTGGAATGGCTCCCATTTTAGAGCTCTGCCGGCTACGCGAGGCGAGTGCCGACACATCGCGACACCTCCACCCACCCACCCCTCTCTCACCTGTCGCGCACTCTCTGCCCCGTTTGCTGAGTGGAGTTTGTTGGCCTGCCTGTGCTCACCAGGCCAAAGCAGGGCATGAACATGTTGCCGGCGCTGCACCGAGTGATGGAGTGTACTATTGTAGTTTTGGGTCGAGGTGGCGGTAAAACTTCCAGCCCTCGCGGTGCCGCGATCCACTGGGGCTTGCGGTTCACTTCGAGTTCACTTCGCGAAGACTCGAGTCCTCCACGCCACAGCACACGGCCGCAAGCGGGGCCGGGCCTCCCCGCCTTGGTATTGCAACCCGAACGGCTCTGTGTAAGATGGAGGTGAGAGAGGCGGGCGGCACACTCGCGCGCCTGACGTGAGAGAGGTTTTGTTCGCCCACTAAACTCGCAGTTGCCTGTGCGAGCTTCTCATATCACAGCACAGATGAGAGAGGCCACGGAAGGGCTCAACTCTTTTGATGGCGTCGGGGCAGGGTCGAGCTGGGTACACTGCGCACAAGCCAAAGCCTCGGCGATCACAACGGCACTCCTCTCCTGCACTATAAACTTGTTGGGGGAGGCCCAGCCGCTGGCGAGGGGCACTGCCGGCTTCACTTTAAGGGTAAAGTGGGCGTATGGGCGAATGCGACGGAGTATGATTGTCTCCCTCCATCCGGAGGAACATGGCGCATAGTTAGGGTGCCGGTGCCGGTGGCACGTCACGTGTGCGCTTTTCTACGCAGGAAACCTGCAATGCGCTTAGAAATGCGATTAAAGGGTGCAACACTAAATGCGCCGGTCGGTGCTGGCAATGGGTCGCCTTCGGGGCGGTACGGCGAGGCTACGGGCGGCGGGCGGCAGGCGCCGCCTGGGCCGGCCGCTCCACAGCCGTGCCGCGCGGGCCGGCCTACCCTGCGCTCCGCAGGCGCTCTCACCCACTCGTGAGCGTGGACTCCGCGTCACGGGAAAGGCAGCCACACTTTGGCCGACTGCTTTGCTTATCCCGGCCGGGCGTGCTTGTGGTGCACGTGTGGGACGTGCTCGGGCCCCGCCCTGTTAGCTGCGGGTATTATTCAGTCACGCCTTTTGAATCAAAAGTCTCCCACATGGAGTGGAGCCTTCACACGGCCGACTTACGGACCCAAGCAGTAGCTGCCGCATGTTGCCACCACGCCTTTGGTCCTCCTTTCTGGGGTTGAAGAGTCAGTGCCTATATTCTCGCAATCTAATCCATCGTTTAAGGCTGGTGTAACAAGTCCCGTTCAGGTCAGTCAAGTCAAGTCACCCCCGGGACCAGAGGGCGACATGCGACATGTACGTCGGTGTCGCTGTACATCACTATGCCACGTCTTCAACAATTTTAAATTGTGTAGTGGTAGTAGGACATCGGCCTTTGACCGGTTAAGGTGCTTCCTTACGATGATAAAATTACTTTATTTTCCTGTTCGCACCTCTTTGCCTTCAAAAAGACTAAACTCGTGCAAACAAGACAGCGGGTGATTTACATAAGCCTGCTTTTCCAAAGCAGAAAAGCAAGCGATTACTTTCTTTAAGAATTGGAATAAAATTTGGGGAAATGCACACTTATATAGAACCTCACGCTCGTGTGACATGAACGGCATATCATTGTTTCATTAATATTAACCACATTATGAAAGCACAATGTGATGTGATCGAGTTCAGTTGGCCGAGCAGCGCGCTGTGCGCGTGCCCCGGGTCCTATGGCGCCGGGCCGGGCGGGCGCCTCCTGTCCCGGCTTAGCGCTGCTCCGACTCATCAAATAAACACGCGTTTGCCCCCGATGGGACGGCTCGCGCAAGCAGCTCGCGCCGGCAGGTGCGCGGGGCTGCACGCTCGGCTCCGGCTCGGGTTGCTCGCCTCGCTCGCCCTGCTGTCCTGCGCCACGCCCCGCACTCTCTATGGAAGCGCCGAACTGCGAGCAGCTTGGGGGATGAACCGCTCAACCCCCAGCCGCCACGGCTCAATGCAAGCTGCAATGCAAACCAACGGGGCCCGGGGGCGGGGCGAGTCTAAACGCCCAACGAAACGAGTCGGAGCAGTTTGGAGGAGGAGCGGGGGCCAGCGGTCACGGTCCAGCAGCCGTGGGGGCGGGGGCGCCGCCATCCCCGCGGCGTGTCTCCTCTTCTGCGTCATCGCGTATAGCTTTTGCCGTCTTGGACTCTCTAGCCGGCCAGGGGCGCCTGCTGTCGCTTCAATCGATCGACAACCAATTATTGGTTCCCGATCGTAAAACGAGAAGAAAAAAAAAAGAAACGCGCCAAGTCCGCTTGGTGCGTGGCTGTGCGTATTGCGGCTCTCGTGTGGTTTGAGGCAGCTCTGTTCCGTACCTCTATAAAGTCACTTAAGAGTCCTAAAGGTGCTAAAAATCAGCGCATTTGTAAAGGCACGAAACACTAAACCTGAAGTGCCTTTCAAAGGCAGGACCTTTGTTTTTCCAGTGATCGTCTGGACGGAAATCGTTTGGTCCGGCCGCTGGCCGCAGTCTTGTTCACGTTTCGTCGAGGCTGGAGGTGGGGGTGCGCCTGCGCCCCCGCGGGCTGTCTGGGCGGCGCGCCGCCGGTGCCGGTGGTCGCGGGGCGAAATAACGACAGTTTACTCCTCAAAGGTCGCCGCCCGCCGCGCCCCGCCCCGCCCCGCTCGGCCGCTCCCTGCGGGTGTTTGGCTCCCCCTGCCGCTCGACTACATTTTCACGATGACGTTGGCGGGGGGTTTGAATCGGGCGGGGAGGTGGTTGGGGGAGAGGCGTCGACTTGCCAAATATACTTCTTGGGAACTAATTCCTCTCTGAGAGTTGCCTATGGCTGGCCCGCC